TTGTTCTTTTTGTCTGTACCCAGGCATGGATCAGTCCTCTTGGGCCAGTACTGCCCAGTGGGACTTTCTGTGATGCTAGAAGGGTGTTATATCTGCACTATCCAGAGTAGGAGCTACTAGTCACATGTGGCTACAAAGCATTTAGGATGTGGCTAAGCAACTTGAAGAACTGAGTTTTTACTTGATTTGATAGTGCTTAATGGAAACAACCACTTTGGCTAGTGGCTACTGCATTATACAACACAGCCTTGGACCAAAGAGAAGCCCAGTACATTCAGGGGCACCTACTTCCTCCTGCTCCTGTGAAGTCCATCTCCTGCTTCCCTGTGCCCCTTGGTAGCAAGGTCATAATGCTTCAAGCCTGTAAATGAGATGACCTCTCAAGGCATCCACTGAGCTCAGCTTGCTGCAGCTTCTGTAACAGAAATGCTTCTAGACCCACTCCATTCTGCCTGTTAGACAGATTCACACATCTCTCCATTGAAAGATTATTTATTGGGTGCCATTCACTGGAGAGACAAAGATGAATGGCAAGTTTTGCCCTTAAGAAGTTTACTGTTTTGGGGCCAGCAGATGGTGTAATGGTTATGTCACTGGACTCGCACACAGTCGACCACAGTTTGAGTTCCAGATATGGTGCCTTGAAACTCATGCTGGGCATATTTGTATGCATGCCCAAAATCCCGCGAGGAGAGTGGAAGAGAAGGGATTGTGGCGTGACCATCTCCCCTGGCAGGGGGGAATTTCTGTCTCTCTGTCTTTCTGGTGAGAGCAAGCACCCTATAGCAAAAAATTTTCTAAAAATAGGAGAGGAAAGTTTACTATTTAAGTTCGACAGAAGAAGCTAGAATGAAAGCCAAGGGAAAGCCAGCTCCCATGTTCATTCCTTGTAGAGGAAGTCTAGGCATCCTCATCTCCCCTTTTGGCTGAAAAAAAGAGATTGGAGACTCTTCCCCAGGTCCAAGTGGCCTGGCAAAGCCCAACACACTCCATGGGCTGTGAATCTCAAGTGTGCTTCAGTTTCTTCAGTTTCTATAAGCTAAGTCAAAATATTTGAGCCACCCAGTTTTTTCTTATATTTGATTATCAGGTCAAGATGAAGTGGGAAACTAACCTAAGCCCAGGACCAGGCTGTTAAAGGCACCAGGGCATGACTACAAGCCCCAGAGGGCAAGGTTAGATTTTGGGGAGCAGCAGGTCCCCACCTAAGCCCATCCACTGGTATGATCAGGAAGCCAGGTGGAGCTTTGAAAGCTTGTGCCTGCCTGCATCTGCTGGAAAAACATCTTACCCCTGCAAGAGAAAATCAGCAGCAGGAGAGAGGTTTGAAAATACAGAGTGTGGGGATCAGCTAAAGTGTGTGCATTGTTGAAAAGGATTTGGATCAGAGAGGCAGGAAAGGACACAAATGCCAGATTTTAAAGTGCTTACAGTCTTTGGAAAATGAGTACAGGTGGTGGGAGCATCAGTCTGCTACACCATCTACTGGCCACCTGGAGGTAGTGATCTCCTCGTCAGGCAGGTTCCAGAGTTCACTCAGTCCTTTTGCCACTGTTCACGTGCAGAGCAACCTTCACCAGGAAGTCCTCCCAGGTATCCCACCTAAATCCCTTCTGCAAGCTCAGTCCTTTTTCTCTTGAAGAAATAGCTCAGGAGTAGCTGGTCTTGTGCTTTCTCATTTCATCGAAAACGTAAACCTTCTGAAATCAAAAGCCTACTTGTGGCCCGGTTACAAAACAGCTGAGCAGGGATAGCTGGCTCTGGCATTCTGGCTCTGGTCTTACTTTCTAGTCCTGTCATCCGTGTGGCTCTGTTCTGGCTCCCCTCCAAGTTTCCACTGTCTCTATGGAGCCTACAGGTGACCACAAGACCCTGATTAGTATCTTTGATACTCGAGTCTCCTGCTGCCTAAGTAATAGGACCCATGGGGTTAAGTGGCACCAAAACCAGTGAGGCACCTCAAAACTCTAAGAAGCAGAAGCAGCCTTCAAAAGCAGCCAACAGCCTACAAACTTGGGGCAGGGGGTGGAAGAGGTGGGAGTCATGGCCTCAGGAGTCACACTTAGGTGAGGCCAAGAAAGATGAGAGGGTCTTCAAAAGTGTTATGCGTTCCTTGGAGAAAGACATTGAAATCAGCATTTTGTTTTCCAGTATCATTGTTGCTTGGCCCCAGGGCAATCCTTGAATACTTGCAAAGGAAAGACTAAGACGATTCAGAATTAATTTGCCCAGGGTTTATTGAACTATGGCCAGTAACCCTCTCCACCTCCCAGGTAGGGTGACCAGAGTTAAGGACAGCAAACAACACTTCTGGGGAAAAGTCCCCAAAGGTGAAGAGTCTTGAGAAGAGCTGTGGGTATGGGAAAGGCTGTGAATACCACACTTCCATGGCCACCAAGGCCAGAGAGAGAACATGCTGAAATGACAGTGCCCACTGACCAAGGGAACAAAGCCCTCACCACTAAACAGGTGGCCGGGGCAGGATGCCTGGAAGAACTAGGGAGATAAGTGCATGCTGAGCTAGGTGTATACACTTGTTGCTTAGACACAAGGGGCTGGATTAAATGGCCTACTGAAGCTGGACAACCAGCCCTGCAGCAGAGGTGGCATCCTGGCTCCCTCTTAAAGTGGTAAGTCCTGGGAACCCAGCTCCACAGTGCCCCTGAGAGCCATGAGCTGGCTTCCCAGGTCAGACTGGAGCAGCCCCTGGATGAGGAGCTTGCCCTTCTTTGTGCATTGGTTATCGCCCAGCCTGTTCACCCTCCTCTTCTCATTCGATCAAGTTACAATCTTGTTAGAGAGAGGGGTTTAGCTGTACACCCCCAGGTGCCCTCTTGCCTACCCCAGTAGCAGCCAACTACTTTTTGAGGATTTAAATGCTTGATGATGCCCAGAGAGGTTGAGTGAAGTGTCTCAGGTCCCCTAGTAAAATGGCCCAACCACCCTTCTGTACCATAGCTAGCTGTCCTCCTCACCCTCAAAGACTCAAGCCTGAGACTTGGGCCCATGTTACTAGATAACAGAGCCCTGGCCTTTCCATTTGCACAGAGTCCCACAAATCAGCCAGGCTCCTCCCTGCATCCCCACCCCCATCTAACCTGTCCCGCAACCAAGCAAAGCTTTTTTACCTCAAAATACCACTCAACTTACCCAATTGCTAGAATGCTACATCCCCTATCAGGCTCATCACCCTGTTGATTAATCAGCTCAGCAGGTTCTGAGAGAGTAGGGGCAGGGTCCTGGGACATCGAGATATAGCTGGCAAGAGGGGGGTCTAAGGCCAAAGGTGGGGTCCAGGATCCTGATATTGGAGCTTGCTCAGGGAGAGCCTGCCCACCGCTTTGCTGTTTGCTTTCTCACCGCCATCCTCATCTTCCTCTCTGCTAATTACTTCTCTTCCTGTCCTGTGAATATATACACAAAGCAGCTAACCCCTGGGAACGCTGCAAACCGTGGAGGCTTCTGTGAGGCGGGGAACTTCCTTGCCAGGGCCTTAAAGACCGGATACCAATTTCACTAAACTTGACAAATCCTGAGCCAAGAGAGAAACAGGTGCTTAGGAGCTTCCTGCCACCTGCCATCCTGACCAGGTTAGGCCCGGTCTCCAAATGCCTCCCCTAACTCACACCTGGAACTTTCCCTGAACTGAAGGCTCAGATGTCACTGTCGACACCAGCTCCGGGGTCATAAATGGTGTCTTCTCAGAAGCTTCTCTTTACTTGCAACCTCCCCACATCCTCATTGCCGTGGACTCTCCCCCCTTCTACTTTCCATCTCAGATGCCTCACTATCACCGCTGCTGGATATCCCAGGGACAATGGGGTCGGTGGAAAATAGGATGTTCCTTCACTCCTTTTTAGTTACATGGGTCAGCCAAAGACTTATTTGCTTTTCTAAGCATTCGAAAAGAAGAGGGCATCAAGGACAGGACCTCCCACCCCTGGCCACCCCTGCGCCTGGTCTCCCTGCAGGGCATCCTAACCACACCCTGCCCAACTGGGGGCACCGATCAAGGTCTCAACTCCACTCAAGTCGACTGAGGCCGGAAGAGTCGAGGAGGTGAAATGGGTGCCTTGGAGATGAGAATGCAGTGGACTGAGAAAAAGCTGGGTGGGTAGAATTAACAGACCAACAAATAAATGAGCAAAGTCCTGCTTCTCTAAAGGTCATAAGTCAGCTAAGTATAGACTGTCAGCAAGTCACTCCTATATATAACTGCTGCAGCCCCAGCCAGCTGTCGGCCTCTCAGACGGGAGCTGAGTAAGGTTCCAGTCCCAGGGCTCGGCATGGCGCCAGGTCTGTGTCAGAGCAGGCAGTGAGGCCCCCAGATACCACATACCCCACTCCGTTCCCCTCCAGGCCCCAGCTCCCAGGGTCCCTCCTCTGCTCTTCATGGTGGTTCTCATTACCATGCTGCTCCAGACCCCAGGTCCCCTCTGCCTCCACTCTCTAGGTCCAAACATCTGGAAGCCCAGCAGTCCTGAAAGAACGAAGCCCTCACTAAGAGACAGACTGGGCCTCTCTTGCCCACACTGCTATCCTCTGTTTTCTTACATCAGCTCAGACCTCCAGGTTCTTACCTCTCAACCCACCCCAGCCACCACCCCATCTACATAGCCATCCTCGAGCCAGCAATCCACTTAACAACCTTGCCCTTTCATGGGCATGACCATTCCTCTTTCTTGCCTCCAGAACGTCTCCTCTCTCCTGTCACACTTGCCCTCATAGGTCAGCATGACCTTTTCAACATTCCCCTCCTCCATGAAGTCTTCTCACCTACACTCACACTCTGATTCCAGCTGCTTCACCACGTACACAAGCCTTGGCTCTTCCTCCCAGGTCTTTAATTCCCTACTTTCCTTAGTCTGGTAGGCCTCAAGAAGACAGAGCCCCAAAACTTCAGCCTCTATTACTCCCTTCACCCAAAACCTCCCAGCCCTGGGCTCCAGATACTTGCCCTTGGCCTGCCACACTAACCCTTCAGCTCCTTCTTCCTGCAGAGAGAGATTCTCGCGAGCATGAGGAACCAACCACCTCTGAGATGGCCGAGGAGACCTACTCCCCCAAGATCTTCCGGCCCAAGCACACCCGCATCTCTGAGCTGAAGGCCGAGGCAGTGAAGAAGGACCGCAGAAAGAAGCTGACCCAGTCCAAATTTGTAGGGGGTGCTGAGAACACCGCACACCCCCGGGTGATCTCTGCACCTGAGATGAGACAGGAATCCGAGCAGGTGAGGCTTGACAGCTCTTTCCCCATCTCTCTCCCTCTACCATGACCCCAATGTTGGGCCTTTCCCTGCATCTAAATGGGCATTTGTGGCAGCAAGAGGTGCTTAGGCTAGATCTAGTACAGGACTGGCCGCGTACAGTGATAGCTCAGTCTGGGGGTTGGGGAAAGAATTTTCAGAGCTCACATTTATCAGGACTGAGGAGGCTTGTCCAGATGAGCAGAATAGAGATAGTAGGGGACCACATGTCAGGTGTGCGAGCCTCCCAGGCAGAAGTGACCATTCTCCTAGAGTATCCGGAGACGGTCACCTCTGGACAGCATCACTCAGCCACAGAGAAAAGCTAGGGGTGGGTGGCCTAGAAGACAAATGGGAAAACAGGGCTCCTTATCTGGCTAAATGCAGGCTTGGGGCACTCCCAGGTTATACAAGAGAAAGGAATAAAGGTATTTGGTTGTCATTGATCAGAACCGAAGGTGGGAGCTTTCCTCCATAGGGTCTTTAGCCCCCAACCTGGGCCACATGTGCACATCTGGGAGGTTTCTACATGGTCCTGCCATGCTTCTCACCCTCCTGTCTACACAGGGCCCCTGCCGCAGACACATGGAGGCCTCCCTGCAGGAGCTCAAAGCCAGCCCACGGATGGTGCCTCGTGCTGTGTACCTGCCCAACTGTGACCGCAAAGGATTCTACAAGAGAAAGCAGGTATGTGCCCTGCCCTACGCTGCCAGGTTCAGACAGCTCCTAAAACAGCACCTGCCCAGAAACCACATCTTCAGGCAGGTGCCTATGATTTCCACCACTAAGGACGTGTGTTTTCTGAATCTTGAAGATCCTTTCACGTACTGTCACAGTTTTCCCCATGTCTTCCTCTGCTGTGGTCTGCTTTAACTTTCTATGGGATTCACCTTCTATGCAAATCCATTGGAAGAGGAAGCGGTCACCTCACACACTGTATATGCTCTTTCGTTTTATTTCCGATATACATGCACACACAAACATGACTTTGAAGCATATTTTCTCCATTTACCACCTGAAATCATTTCATGTCCCTTATCCTTTGGGCAACCCTAATTTTGGCTAACCCGTAATACCTAGCCTTACAGCTATGGTTCTCAACCCTCTGAGGGCATCAGCCGCCCAGGGGGTCATTAAAGCACTGATTGGTGGGCCTTGCTGCTGGGGGTTCTGATCAGTAGGTCTGGGGTGGGCTCTGATGATTCTGGTTTTTTTTTGTTTGTTTTTTGTAAAGGTTTTTGCCATAGGGTGTGTGCACTCACTGGAAGAAGACAGAGAGAGACAGAGAGGGGGAAAGCGAGAAATCTCCCTGGGGGATGGCCATGCTGCAATTCCTTCCGCTCCATTCTCCTCTGGGAATTTGGGGCATGTGTGCACACATGGTCAGCATGATTTTCAAGCTGCAAGGTCCCCCAGAACTCAAACCACAGTCACCCATGTGGGAGTCCATTGCCTAAACCACTGTGCTACCTGCTGGCCCCAGATTTTGTATATTGCATTCTTTTAGGGGGAGTTTGTCTTAGGGCTTATGTGCTCTCCAAGAGAGACAGAGACAGTGAAATGGAAAGTGAGAAATCACCCCCCTAGGGGGGGATGGTCATGCCACAGTCCGTTCTTGTCCATTCTCCTCCTGGGATATTGGGCATGTACAGTACATGTGCCTAGTATGAGTTTCAAGCTACCAGGTCTGGGACTTGAACTGCAGTCCAGCAACATAACCACTGCACCACCTGCTGGCCCCCTGGATTCTGTATTTTTAACAAGTTTCCAAAGAAACCCGTGCTACCTTATGGAAACCCCTAGTATAAATGGGTAACATATCTTAGACCCCCCCACCACCATCACCACTTATTAGCTCTGCCCCTTTACCTCAGTTACTTACTGCCTCTGGGCCTCTGAGCCTCTGATTCTTCATGTAAAATGTAAAATAACAGTACCTACCTCACATGATTAAAGAATAAGTGATTAAGGTTTATTAAGCACTTGGAACCATACCTACAATACCTACGCTACACAGTGTGAAGCTGAGTCTAGCACATGATAAAGATGTAGCAGTGATGTCTCCTAACGTTATTATAGTTATTACTGTTAATATCCGATCATATAACTCTCTTGAATGTCCCAGGAGAATACTAGGTTAGAGGACCTCAAATGGGTGACATAAGAAAGGGACTATAAGGTCAGCAGGTGGCATGGAGGTTAAGGTGCAGGATTAAATCCTGGATCTAGTGGCTTGAAAACCTGAACCTAGTGGCTTGAAAACCATGCAGGGCAGATGTGTGTATATGTGTTCCCAAAATCCTGAGAGAAGAGTGGAGGAGAAAAAAATTTCCGCATAGCCATTCTCTCTAAGGGTTGATTTCTCACTTTCTCTCTCTCGCAAACATACAAAGGCTAAAACAAAAAAAAAAAAAAAAAAGAGAGAGAGAGAAAGAGAGAGAGACTGTAGGAGCAAGCCAAGGGCTGAGCATCTCATTAGTACTTCTCCTTGGGCATTCTTGTACATTCTTGTGCAATGGAGACACCAGAACCTAAAGGTTGAGTATAGCTCCCTCCACCCTCAACTCTGGGGATGAGAGTTTATCTTGGGTGGGGAAGAGGCAGGGCAGGCAGGAGCAGACCTTGGGGTATAGCCGTCCTCACTGCCTGTTACTCTGCCCACCCAGTGCAAGCCTTCCCGTGGCCGCAAACGTGGCCTCTGCTGGTGCGTGGACAAATACGGCATGAAGCTACCAGGCATGGAGTACGTCGATGGGGACTTTCAGTGCCACGCCTTCGACAGCAGCAACGTTGAGTGATGCGTCCCCTCCCCACCTTTCCCTCGCCCCCTCCCATCCCCAGCCCCAACTCCAGCCAGCACCTCCCTCCACCCCAGGACGCCACTCATTTCATCTCATTTAAGGGAAAAACTATACATATATCTATTTGAGGAAACTGAGGACCTCGGAATCTCTAGCAAGGGCTCAACTTTGAAAATGGCAACAACAGAGAAGCAAAAAGCTAAAGAGATCCCCCTTTCAAAATAGTTTTCTTTTTTGAGGCAAGTTGAATGAATAGAGAAGGGAGGAGAGGAAGAGCAGGAGGAAGCGAAGGGAAGGAAGTGTTTATGTGGAAGAGAGGGAAAGATGCAGAGTTATGAAAAGGAGAAGATGAACATGGGTAGGAAGGAAAGGGCCCGGGGCCAGGGCTGGATCCACCTTTCACATCCAGCCCTACCTCGAGGTTGGGGAGGTTTGGGCACTAACAAGGTGTGGCCCGAGACGTGGCATTTGACATCACCCTTGGGGTTTTTCCAGTTTGGATTGGTCGGGGGAGAAAGGAAAAGAAGAAAACATGCCAGAGCCTCTCCCAATCTGTCTCCTCCTCCAGCCAGCGATGAGGAGGGCTCTGCCCTATCTTCCTCTCCTCTTATTCCCTCAGGGTGTTTTCTGTCCCCCCAAATTTATAAAAGCTAAATGCATTCCACTCCTCTGACAACAAAACAAATTCCTAATGGATCGATAGGTTTTCCTAAGCAGATACACACCTCTTAAATATATGTGTGTTATTTCACTCCAGCAGACTTCTAGATATCCATATATACCCAATGTTGGAAAGATTTGTTCTTTCGGGGTGACTAAAACATGCATTCGAGGTTAGCCCCTAATTTCATTCAATTTGCAGATAGAACAGCAACCTCTGTGGAGGAGGATAGGCTAAAAAAAAATCATGGGCTTGTATTGAACTACAAGGCCCCATATAGTTATATATAGGCATATAAATCTATTTTCTTTCTTCCTTTCTTTCTTTCAAAGGGTTGCATTAACTTTTTGAAGTAGTTTCTATGGGTGCATTGAGAAGCTTCCTCATTCTGGGAAAACTAAGAAAACCCATATTCTTCTAATACAACCCATAATAGCAGTTTTGCCTGCCCCTAGTCAGGGGTTTCTCATGAGCAGCAAACTCAACTCTTCATGGGGTGTAGGAATGGGTTTTTTATGATTGCCATGTGTCCTTATGTAGTCACCAAACCCGGGAGATGCAGGCACTCCACAGTGCTCGCACCACACTCCTCAGTACATACCACATTAGTCTCCCGACCTTCGGGAAGTAATGGTCTCTGGACTCCACACCAAACAAGCCCCGGAGGTCCAAGCTGGACCCACCGGTCCTGCTTCAACCTCTTCATTTCCTCTGGACAGAAACTGCATTTGAAAAACCTCTCTCAGTCTCCACACTGGCAGGACAGGAGAGAGACTGAAATGAGAGATGGCAAAGAGGGTGACGGGATGCAAAGTTTTCTGTACAGGGAAACAGTAAAAGTGGTTGTTCCGGCCAGAGTAGGAGTGGAGGGACAGAGGGCTGGAGGAGCAAGGGGATAACCCATCCTTTCTAGCTTTGAGCAAAGCAGCAGAAAGAGGGTGGTGGGGAGTTGCTGGAACTTTTCTTGGCTTCTTTATTCTATAAGCCCTCTGGGATTCAAGAAGAAGGAGAAAGGAAAATGGGGCACAGGTTGCAAGATAAACGTGAGCTTAATCCAGTCATGCAGCCAGGAAAGGGGGTAACTTTAGGTGGGTTCTAGGCTTTAGAAGCTGGACGGGAAGGGTCAGTACAGACTGACTGTGCTTTTGAAGGAACAAGATTATCCATGCAGATGCCCACCTTCAGCTCATAACAAGGGACTGAGGCCAAAGAGACTTTCAAGCTCTTCATCCTCTCTGGCCAGTCCACACATCCTCCCTGGGGTGGGAGCTAGAAGAAAGGCCCATGACAACCAGGGAGGTGACTGGGCTACTGTTTAGTGCCCAGATTCTGAACCAGGAGAAGTCCTATTCTCCACTGACTTCCTCACTTCCTCAACAAATGGGTGGCCTTGAGACTGTCCAATATGGCTGAAGATGGTCTGCCAGGAAGGGGGCTTGGACACTGGCAACAGAGACCCTTTCTCCCTGTGAACACAGCTCTACCCACTCTTTAAAATGGCATTTTACAGTGGAGACACCTCCAATACCGACTTGGGGCACTGAAGATGGACAGCAAAGAAGCGAATACATTTCATCTAGCAATGGAACTTGGGGAACATCTCCCCGAACACAACAATTGGCTGGGGATGGGAGAGGAAGTCAATCATGAGACAAAGGGCCGATGAGGATGGCAACCCTAAGGACCTCCTTGATCTGCCGTGTCAGCACACCCCATCTGTCTGCACAGCTGTTCCCAAATGCGACTCACATTTCTTTATGACATAGGCCAGTATCCCCACCCTTCTCCACATCACTCTTTCAGCCCATTCTTTCTTTGGAGCTTGTGCAGTCTTCTACCTGAGATCTGCCAAGTGGATACTGGGGTGTCATTCCCCCTAAGAAAAGACTGAGCCAGGAACTGCATACTCCCACCACTCCTTCCAGGCCCGGACCTGATTACCAAGAGGGGCATTCCCTTTACCCTTCCATTTGCTGAACTTTGAGTGGGCTTCTGCCTCTGACATGGCTCTTTGCTGCCATAAGGTGGGGGTTGTGGCCTGGCTTAACTGTGCCAGACTCTTCAGGCTCCCAAAGTTCATGTCCACTAACCCCAACCTGGGAGTCCACTATTTGCAGGGGGTGCTTCTGGGCAGCTGGCCACTCCCTAAGGAAGCTGGACCTTCATGGACGGATGGCATTAAATCTCCCAAATGGAAGGTCTGGATGAGGAGGCCATTGGAAGGGAGTCACTGGAGAAAGATGGGACCTCTTCCCCCTGGGAGTGGGAAAAGAAGGCAGGTTTGGAATGGCGTGAGCATTTCAAGTCCTGAGTAGGGACCTCCTTGGCTCCAGGCTGGCCTTGGTCAACTCTGCTCACCCAGAGGCCTTCAACTCCTGGTTTTCAGTGGCCCCAGGTCTAAGTGCTACCCACCCACCCCTAGTCCTGCAGAAGGTCTCTTCCCATCCCTTTGACTCACACCTCGCTCCAGCAGTGGAGAAGATGCTGCTGTCTTCCTCCACCACTGCCAGGAACTTGCGGGAGGCCTTGCCAGGACTGATCCTCATGCCCTCAGCCTGCCTTGCCCTGCCTGGGCACAGCAGGAAACCTGGCAAGAAGGAAACTCAAAGGTTCCTCTGACTGCCAGGCCTGAACAGACAGGCCTGGAAACATTTGCCCCACACAGGGGAAGGCGAGCACAGAGGCCCAGAGAGGCTCTACAGGGGCACCTCCCCTGTCTTCCCCTCACCCACTCTGGTCTCCATGGCAACCCCACAGGTTACCCTCTTGAGGGGGAGGTGGACCTCATACATGTTCTCTCACTACATAGCTAGTTAGTGGTGACAGGGCTGCCATGGCAACCGCCAAGCCCCCTTCAAGATGGGGCAATACCCCCTCTCCAAGCATCTACTCAGACCCCTAGAGGACTCCAGTTCAGGATGGGAACTTCAGAAAAGAGTGGGCCAAAGAGCAAAAACCCTCTAGACTTGGAGAGGAATTTCTTGGCTTCCAGGAGGAAGGAGGCCAAGTTTTGAAAAGCTATGGGACAAGGGAATGGGGATTTTTACCCACCAGCAATCTGGGTGTTGTACTGTCTTTATTTTTAAAACCACTAAAGTGCAAGGATTGTTTTGCACTGTTTCTCCACTTTTGTTTTTTTTTTTTTTTTTGCTTTCAGGTTTTTGTCTCTTTTTTAAAACATGCTTTCTTGGTTTTCTAACAGAGTATATAGTTTAACCATTTCATGGACTCTGGCCTCTTCTCCTTAATAAATCCTCTTGGATGGGGAAAGGATGGTGGGGAGTATCCGAGGAGAAGGGTCCCCACCCACCCTACGCCCACTCACCCCACTTCTCTGGTTCCCTGGTCACCAGCCTGAGCCCCATCACCACCGCCACTGCCACAAGTAGCCCACACAGATAGCACACCGGTCAGACAAGATTCCTCCAGATTCCGAGTTGCCTACCGCCTGTTTGGTCTAAGACAGCAATAACCACAGCACGTATTACTGTAGTTCTTGATAGTTTTACATACATACATACCATAGCTCTGTTCTCGCTCCTCTTTTTGGTTTCAACTTTTTTTTTTTAAAGTAAATGCTCATAATCTTTACTGGTGAAAAGGATGGAAAAGCAAACCAGCAAACAAAATCAGTTTGTGAAGAAAAAAAAACAGGAAAAAAATCACCTGAATGCGGAAGAGCTCAGCTCCTGTTTTAGTGTTTTGTACTTAAGGAAATAAAAAAGAAAAGGAAAAAAAAAAACAAAACAGAGGATCTCACGTTTTATTAAAAAGTGAAGATTGCTGTATACTATTTATTCAACTTATAATTTATGTTACTCCTTGATCTTTGTCTTTTGTTCATGACAAAGCATTTATTTAATAAAGTTATGCACTCAGTTTAGCCTGCGTTGGCTTTCCTCTGAGAGCTCAAGGTAGGCAGGGGGAGGTCAGCACCCAGGACTCTTTGCAGGCCACAAACCAGAGGGGAGTAGAAAGGACTCAGTGAGTGCAGGGCTGAGGGGTCTGCTTCCTCCAGAGGGGACCCTGAATGGATACAGTGAGATTTGCAGACGAGCCTTCCTCCCAGAACCCAGGTGCCCGTGTTCCCTCCATTAGAACCACCCTATGGTATAATGGTTACATGGCTGGACTCCCACATGGACAGCGGCAGTTCAAGTCCCGGACCCAGTGGCTTGAAATTCACGTTGGGTGTGTGTGTGCGTGCGTGCCCAATATCCTGAGAGGAGAATGGAGGAGAAGAGATTGCAACATAGCCCTTCCACCTGGGGAGTGATTTCTCCCTCCATTTGAAAGCCATTGTGGATGGGTGACCCCAGTGCAACGTAACCCTCTCTGTGCCTCTATTTAGTTGTGGGTAACAACCTCACAGGTCCTGCGAGGATGAAATGAGTTAACACATGCAAAGTGCTTAGAACTGTGACATTTCGTGCACGCTAGCTACAGTTAACGACTATTAGCGATTACTGCTATCACTTCATCGCAGCCCCTGCTATTCTGTAAAGCGACCCTTTTCCACCCTTCTGCAAACCATGAGTCTCTTCTCCTTGGAGAGAATTTTTTTTTTTTGGGGGGAGAGGTTTTTGCTATAGGGCGTGTGCGCTCACCAGAGAGAGACAGAGAGACAGAAAGCGAGAAATCACCCCCAGGGGGGATGGTCACGCCGCAATCCCTTCTCCTCCATTATCCTCTCAGGATCTTGGGCACGCACACACACGTGCCCGGCGTGCGTTTTAAGCCACTGGGTCCGGGACGCGAACCGCGGTCGACTATATGGGAGTCCAGCGACATAGCCATTACGCAAACTGCTGGTTCCATGGAGAGAATTTTAAAGGAAGCATTTCTAGAATTTTCTTCAGTCATTTATCCCAGTCAGTTGTTTGAGCCTAGCGAGGAGGAAAGCTATGAGATGGTGACTGACTCCAGCCCTGTGCGGCTCATGCAGCCACCCACTTTCTGCCTCAATTATCTTTCTTTATGCTTTCCTCCTTCCTGGGTACTTTCTCAGCCTCCTCCCCAAAGAGGAAGCCCTTCCCTCCACAGCCGCTCTTCACTCAGAGCCTAGTACAGCACTGGGCCCCATGAGTACCCCACTGCCAATTCTGTGGGGCCTCTCAGTCCGTCAGCCCAACTGGGAAACGAGACTTGCAGCATCTCCCCTCTGCCCAGCTCAGTGGCTGAGGGCTTCAGGAACCTCAGTAGTGTCCTGCCTGGTCGCCCTTGGCAAGTGCAGTCATGGGAGATGGGGGGCATCCTTGAGAAGGGGAGGAGGATGGTGCACCTGTGGGAATGGCTGAAACTTTGCTGAAGCTGTCAGCACCAGGCGTCTTCAAGTTCATAGAGCAGTCCATTAGCCAGAGACCCATGCACAACGTTCCAGAATCGGGTCACTCAGCCTCTGACCCATGGCCACCTGCAAGGGGAGGCTCGGACATGCTGCTTTTTCTGGCAGCCAGCGCCCTGCACAGAAGATGAAGGTGGAGGGTATGAAAGATGCTTCAGGAGGTGTAGAGGCATACTAGGCTCCTCACATGGTGGGGACAGGATAAAGAATGTGCGGAAAGGCCCTGCCACATGGCACCACCTGCCCCAGGACTGTCCCCTGGCTTCTCCACTCGAAGCTGCTCACCCTCCTGTCATCACACACTGCCCCTCGAGGGTGCAAAACACAACCCTTCTCCCATTGTTCTTCCGTGAGGGTCATCTCACCGCAGGCCTCACCCCCTAGCCCACTCCACCAGTTTCCTCCACCCACCCTTGTACCCTCCTGCCCCATAACCAGCATCTACTCTCCCTGCTCACATCCACAGCCATTGAGGGTCTGACACTTGATGACCCCACCCCTCCTACCACCACTACCCTGCGTAATCCAGGGTCATCGGGACAAGCCACAGGGCACCTTGGTGAGCATACGATTTGTCTGGGTTACCGTGGCTCAGTGGGATGGGCGGGGCATGGACTCTGCTGGTCGCCCCCTCACCCCAGTGGTGTGGCGGCTGGTCCAAGGTGCACCTTTGGGAGCAACGCTCTGTCACACTTCTCAGCTTTGTGCATTGAAGCCAGACTCTGTGCCTGGGGTCCCCGGATGGTTGCCAATCGGAAAATCCCAGGGTCCTTTTCTACTCACGTCTACTATTTCAGTGAGAGAAACGGAGGGGAGGGCTGCAAAGTCGGCACCATCCCTACCGGAGGATGCGTCTGTCTCCCACATTTGACTTTTTTTTTTTTTTTTTAAATTTGCTACAGGGTGTCTGTGCTCACTGAGAGAGAGAATGAGGAGAGAGAGGGAAAGGGATAAGTCACCCCCCACGAGGGATCCATGCCACAATCCCCTCTCCTCCATCCTCTTCTCAGGATTTGGGACACACACGCACACCCAGCGTGTTTTTCAAGTTACCAGGTCCAGAACTCGAACTGTACTGTCAGTCATAGATCTCAATCCAACTGCCTTAACCACCATGCCACCAGCGGGCCCTCCTCCATTTGATTTTGGAATCCTTGGCCCTACTCTTTTCCCCAAGGAGACCAGAGACCTTGGCTCCGCCCTGCACTCCCTCCTGTCTGGGTCTCACCTGCCCTGCAGCCCCTCAGTCCTGGACACAGACACAGCCTTGAGTGTTGTTGCTCCCATGCCACGCTGCTGAGCCCTGCTGGGCAAGCTTCACCATCTTGTGGACCAACATCGCACACAATTCCCAGACTCCATAAGCTCCAAATCCTGCTTGGGATGCCTACAAGGGGCCCTCCCTATGTTGATCCCTTCCACGTTCCCCTCGTGTCCACAAACTTCCTACGCTTTATTTTACTCATGAGAAACACCCTCACGTTCTTCTGTCAGAGAAAACCTCTCACCCAGGAGGTGGGCATGTCTTCGTCTTCCCATCCCAACCTTATGCAGTCCTCACCAAACCACCCATCAGCTCTCGTTCCTTCTCATGTCAATCCTCCAGTTTCCAAGGGAGAGCCCTTTCCTCTGTTCTCCCTACTGGCTGCCCTTCCTGGCCAATTGGCCATCCCATCTCCCTCTGTATTGCTGACAGAGAAGAGGGAGAGGAGGGGTGGAGGAGAACGGTCTCTTGCAGATGGAACTAGTGGGACTTGCACATGAACAGGATGTCAGTGTGGATGAGGGGACAGTCAAGGGTGACTTCTTTGCCCAACCTCCCTCAGGCAACTCAATTCAGCATGCTCAGAGTTGCTCTCATCCTGAAGGCTCAGCCACGTCAGCTGACGTACCAAACAAAGCAGGAGTTCGGTGATGACAACAAGATCGGATCCCACCGTCTCCTCCCTAAGCCATCCTACTTCCTTCTCTTCCCCTCTTCATGCCACTGTTCTTCCTCCTCTGTTCGCCATCTCACGGAGTGGCATCGCCACCCACCCAGCTGTCCAAGCCTGACCCCCAGACTTCAGTCCTAACTGCTGTACCCAGGACATCAGGGAAACCGCCACATCCTAGGAATCAGCGACTCACTGACACTCCTCACTCGCGACCCTTTTCTCCATCTCCCAGCTAAGCCTAGTTCTGACGACGCACGCTTCTCACCTGGATCACTGCCATTTCCTGCTGGGACATTCTACCACTGCCCTTCCAGGTCTTGTCTTCCATGCTAGGCATCTCAGTGGAAATTCACTTTTCTTTCTTTCTTTCATTTTGTTTTGTTTTGCTATAAGGCACATGCAATCTCTCCAGAGAGAGAGAGAGGTATGGAAAGTGAAAAGTCTCCATCTTCCCCTCCAGTCTCCTCTCTGTATTTTGGGCATGCGTACACACGTGCCCAGTGTGATTTTCAAGCCACTGGGTCCAGGACTCAAACCACACACTCTTCCTTGTGGGATCTAATCACCTGAACCTCCATGCTACCTGCTGTTCCTGTAGTTTACTTTTTGAATACAGATCTGATCATGCCCATGCTCTGTCTAAGTTCCTTCCTTGGTAATTTCTAGCTTTCAGTCTAAAATTCAAACTCCTCAGCAAGACACCTATGGTCCTTTCTGAGGGACTCTGGCTTCCTTCTCAGTTAGACGTCTGCCTGCATCCTCACTTCACCACATGCGTCTTCAACCACGTGCAGGCCTTCAAGTTCATCATGTAGCTGGTGGCTGTGCAGCTCCGTCAGTCTGAGCCCTGCCCCCACACATGTACATGTATGCATGCATACACACATGCATGCACGTCCACCCCCACACCTTCTCATTCTTGCTTCCTCCTGACAACTCTGCCTTTGTGCTCCTGAGACACCTTTCCTGACAGCAAGCATAGCTATCTCTAATTGTCCCTACAGCTCCTGCTGCAGGACACGCCCCCATCACCTTGAGTCACCGATGTCATCCCTGAGGGCCAAAGCGATTTCCTCCCACGAGAATGCCAGCCCTCAGAGCAGAGGCCGTAACCCTTAGGTGTCATACCCTAACCTAACCCTGAGCCTAGGACACAGCAATAACTAGTTAGGCAGCAAGTACTCCTGTATGATGAAAGTGATTTTTGCACTCTCTGGGCTATTCTTTGAGATAAAAAATTATCCCAATATTTAAAGATGAAGTCAAGGAGGTTCAGAGAGGTTAGCCACATGTCCAAAGCCCCTAATGCACACGTCGTGGAGCCCAGATTCTGTGCAAAGGCTGCCTTACCTCAAGCCCACACCATTACGTTGTTAGCACAATATTCAAGACACATTTGACAGATTCAGCGACTACAGCAGTGAGTCTCCAAATCCAGAGGGCAGAAGAAGGCATGCAAGCTGCACAGTCCCACAGGGCCTCGTGCTTGATTTATGCTCTGCTGTTCCTGTCGGAAAATCCCTAATCATTTATGACCCGGAGGCTCTGTATTTTCATTTTTCTGAGCCCTACATATTAAGTCACCAGTCCTATGTAAGAATCACAGATGAGGAGCCAGCAGGTGGTAGTTAAGGTGTTAGACTCCCATATGGCCGACCTTGGTTCAAGCCTCAGACCCAGTGGCTTGAAAATTACACAGGGTGCATGTACATGCATGCCCAAAATCCAAGGAGGGGAATGGAGAAGGGATTACCGTGTGGCCATCCACCTTGAGGGGGGTGCTTTCTTGCTTTCTTTCTCACTGTCTCTCTCTGGCAAGCATACATACCCTATGACAAAATCAAAAACAGAATGAATCACAGATGAGGCATATTTAAATAGCTTCCCAGGTTCCTTCCCAAGCTTCTACTTCAGGTGGCCTAGGATTGTGAATCCACAAATGTAACAGGTCTTCCCAACTGACTCTAAGACTCCTGGAACCACCTCTTAGAAACAAAACTCAAGGCTCAAGGTAATCTCAGCTGCAGTTCCTAGTGCTGCCACACTGTGGCATTATAGTCCTGGAGTTTGTGAACTACCAGATTTTTAAACTTCAAAGTAGTTACTTCTGGAAGATGAGAGATTTACTTGACATCTTCACAATCTCTGCCCTGCCAGTCACCTTCCCACGTGGATACAATTGTGCCTCCCCTCAGCATAGGTTTAGAATTATTTTATTTAAATTTATTGTGTATTTATTTATTTATTTATGTTTGACCAGAGAGGGACAGAGAGAGAGAGAAAGCAAGCCACCAGGTCCAGGACTTGAACCACGGTCAGTCATGTGGGAGTCGAACACCCTTAACCACCGTGCCACCTGCTGCCCCACCCCCAGCATAGGTTTCTAGGCCATGCAATATGTTCCATAGTGCAGTTCCTGAGCTGGAGCCACAGTGGAGGTATGGCTCACACCCAGTAAACGCCACCTTTCCAGTTTACTTGAGCATGATGGGGAGGAGACTTAGAAATGTAGCCTTTCAGGAGCTGTCTGCAAAATGACCAAGAAAGGCTGAGCAATGCCCCCTTGACAACCCCTCCCAATTTGTTCAGTTCTCTTTTCAAAGCACCTTCACATGCAGCCATTACACCTTTACATTGATACCACCTATAAACTGACACCAAAATCACCCCCATTAGATAGGGGAGAACTGAGGCTCAGAGAAACCCAGTGATACAGGCTCAGGACAATGGAATGGGTGGAGAGACAGGATCCAAACCCAGGTGTCCTGCCTCCAGTGTTCTTCTCCCCTCTTCCCTGACTTAGAATCACCTAGGAACCTTAAAAAGAAGAAAAGGAGAAAAAAAATCCTTCCTGAGATCCACTCCAGACCAATCAGCTCAGCATCTTCAAGGGATTTGGCATCAGTACTTTTTTGACAAGTGTCTCTGTGGAGTCAACATTAGCCCGAGTTTGAAAACTACTACGCTTCCCAGGTAGACAGCACAGACAGCTGAGGGGACCGTAGATAGGGGTGGCAGGACCTCCTTCAGTTGCATGAAGGACAATCAGAGCCCATGTAGGAACTGCAGCCCTTCTGCAGGGCCCAAATACAGCCAGGGCCAAGTGCTCTAGGCTCCTCAGGCCTCCATCCTGCTTCTGCCCACAGGGGGGCAGTGTAACCCAGGGTTAAATCACAGCCTTGTCTGGCGTGAAGGGGCCCCAGCATCAGGGGTGGTGGGCGGTGGTGGCCTTTGGGCCCCCTCAGGGACATTTTCCTTATCTGTAAAGTGAGACTAACAGTGCCTCTTTAGTGGACTCATGAGGAGGAATGGAATTCCTGTACTTCTAAGCAACTGCTGGCCTTGGCCTGGCACAGCCCCCAATTCCTTCTGGGCAGGGCTCTTGCAGTCTAAGAAAACTCACCTTAGGACCAGCAGTTAGCGTAATGGCTATGTTGTTGAACTCCAATGTAGCCGACCATGGTTGGAGTCCTGGACCCGGTGGCTTAAACTCATGCCGGGCACTTGTACGTATGTGCTCAAAATCCAGAGAGGAGAATGGAGGAGAAGGCATTGCGACATGGCCATTCCCCCCGGGGGGTGATTTCTCGCTTTCTGTCTCTCTGTCTTTTTGGTGAGCGCATGACCCCTATAGTAAAAACCTCTCCAAAAGAGAAAACTCATCTTACACCAGGTAAATGTCCCAGGTGTCTCTGCTTCTCTGGATCAGCAAGATGGATTGGCCAAAGCCGTGGGAAAGGCTTCTCTTCTGGGGCCAGAAGGGTTCAGACTGCATCCCAGGGGAGGGGAGTAACATGGGAGGAAGACCTGGCTCCATGCTGTGCTGGAGGTGGGGACTGGCAGAGGCCTTAAAACATGAACATTCTTCCCCCCATGGTCACTGCAGAGCCAAGGAACCCCCTGGAATTTACTAAAGGCTCAGAGGCCAACAGAACAAAGCGGTCGAGCTCTGATGGAGCTTTACTAAAGAAATAGACACCCTGGGGCCAGCACGTAGCATGGTAAAGGTGGTGGATTCCCACCTGGTGGACCATGGTTCAAATCTCAGACCCAGCAGCTTAAAAATCACACTAGGTGCATGTGTGTGTGCCCAAAATTCTGAGAATAGAGAAGGGATTGCAGTGTGGCCATTGTCCCTGGGGAATGATTTCTCACTTTACCTCTCTCTGTCTTTCTTGGGTGAGCACACACACCCTACGGCAAAAAACAAAACAAAACAAACAAACAAACAAAAAAACTCATTTCCATAGCCACCCCCCCAACCTATGGCCCTTCACAAGCAATCTTTTTTTTTTTTTTTTTTGAGAGAGAGATTTTTGCTATAAGACGTGTGCACTCACTAGAGAGACAGAAAGCAAGAAATCATCCCCTGGGGGGATGTTCATGTCACAACCCCTTCTCCTCCATTCTCCACTCGGGGATCCATTCTCCCCTCAGGATTTTGTGTACAGACACATGTGCCTGGTGTGCGTTTAAGCCACAGGCTCCGCAGTCGACCACGTGGGAGTCCAGCAACATAGCCACTGCCATCTGCTGACCCCACACAAAGCCCTTTGCATCCAGTCAGGACATGCTGGTCTGGGGGCCAGCTCTGTGGGCCGCTCAGAGAGCAGAGCCTGAATCCTGAGTGTGGGCCAGCCTGTCCCAAAGCACTGCTCCCTTCTCTGTGGGGCTGAGTTAAAATGTCTTGCTCCGGGCAGGAGGAAGCTCTTTATTCCAGGGGCCAGAGGACCACACCTGCCACACTCTGGGTTCCTGTGTTCTCTGTCTCCCACCTGGACATGGAAGAGGAAAATAGACCTCCGTCCCTCTACTTGCCCCCTCACCCATCCTGCCTCTGGCCCCTGTTAAAGGCCAGTCAGGGGGTTGAAGTCTCACCTGGGCCCCAACCAGGATCTTTCTGGGGCTATACAGGAGTTTACTCTTCAGGCAGGAGATTCCCCTCTCTCCTGCCTCAGCCTCCTTCCCCGGAGTCAGAGGCAGAGATAGAGGGGAGGCAGCTCGGCAGGACCCCGGATCGCTTTCCCAGGGAGGCCCCAAAGACTCAGGCAAAAGGCACACATTTTATTTTTCCTTCCTTTAATCTTAAGCAAAAGAGACACAGGGGTTCAAAAATAAAAATTTCTTTCCCCCCCTCCCAAACCTTTACCCCAGCTCCCCCACTGCAATCCCCCTTCCTCCCCAGCGAGGAAGCAAAAGGGGCAGGGGCAGGTATCTCCAGCTGGAAGGGGGAGGGCAGGGAGTGGGCCAAGCTCGGTGCTGGTCTCTTTCCAAATATAAATACACGTGTCGAAACTCCTGGAAAATCCTCCACCACCCACCACCCGGGCACTCTCCAATTTCTGCCACTCTGTTTGGAGAGGGGGCGGGGAAGGGGATGCCAGGCACCGGCTGGCTGTGGTTTTTTATTGCATCCGTTGGGTGTGTACCCCACGAGCCTCCTGTTGCTCATTGTAGAAGAGATGACACTGGGGGTCCCCCCGAATGGTGGGGGCTCCCTGGATCAGCTTCCCGGTGTTGGGGTTCACGCACCAGCACTCTCCACGCTGACCGTTCAGGGACATCTTGCACTGAGAAGAAAGAAGAGAAGAACTTGGGGGGTGCTCCCCTGCAACCGCCAGCTTTCCTGCCTTTCCTCAGCGCAGTTTAGAACTGAACAGCCACCTTGTGTTGAGCCAGGGCTGCAGAGGCTGTGCTCCACCTTCAGTGTCACCAGGAGCCCTTCACAGAATGCCAGCTCCCAGTCAGCGGGTCTGGGGGGGCCAGAAAGTGTGCTTGGCCAAGAAGCGCCAAGACGATGCTGAAGCTGTCAGCCCAGGGACCACCCTGACCAGCAAAGCCGCTGGAGACACGGGAGACGAGAAGACTCAGCCCCTACCCTTGAGGAGGGTCCATCCAGCGGAGAACCCAGTATACTGAAGTTTAGTCAGGGCATGAGGTGAGAAGATGCATCTCATAATGAGACTGGCATGTGCCAGGCACTACACCACATAAGCGATGTATACACTGCTCATTTTTATCAGACATGTATACAGCACAGCAGTCCCCTGCATCCACGGCTTATTTCCCCTGATTTGGGTTACCTGTGGTCAACCTCTGTCTGAAAATGGCTGAATCCAGTAGTAAGATATTCTGAGAGAGACTACATTTCACCTGATTATTATTACAGTACATTGCTATAATTGTTCAATTACATCGTTCTAATGTCTTACTGGGCCTAACATATATTCAACTTTATCATAGCTAAGTACGTATAGGAAAAGCAAAACGGCATATGGAGGAGTTGGTGCTATCTACCGTTTTGAGCACCCACTGGGGGTTTTGGGACATACCCCTCCTCTGAGAAGGAGGGACTGCAGTATTCCCTGGATCCTCACAACCACCTTGTGATTCGGGTACCATTACTACACCCCACTTGGCAGATGAGACTAAAGCACAGGCTAGTTCAGCAACTTGCTTAAGGTCACACAGCTGGCAAGAGGCATGGCCGAGATGTGAACCAGTCATTTCTGCTACTGGGTCTCTGCTCTTATTTATAAGCTATTACTCTTGCAAATCCTTGTGGCTACCCATAAGGTATGGCCGACAACTTGCTTTTCATGAGAAGTCACCATTTCATGGCCAAGCTCCAAATGAAGTAGTTGGTTTACATACAGAGGAGACGTGTATAACCAGCTTCTAACAGTGGGCTAATGTTTAAAAGGGCAGGATACCTGGGCTGTGAAGATGGGGCTAGTAAGACCCGCCGCCCCAGGCATCAACAGAGTCCTGTTGCCCTCTTTGGGCTGCAAGCAACCACCCTGAGAGTCAGTCCTGGCTACCTGCTAAGCTCAACACAGAGCTTTTGAAAATTCTGAGGACTTGAAAGCACCCAAGACCCAGAAAACTCAAGCCTTCTGTGACAGGGACACATTCTTTTCCCTATGGGAGGATGTCAAGGTGGACGAAGTGGGTAGGCTGAGTAAAAGAACATCGGGCCACCGTCTGATCACTGTGAAGTCTCTGTGGCTATGCAGGCAATATTTATAACATTAAGCAGAAAACATTCCAGATGCACCTTGATCATTAAAATGCACACAAACGGAAAGTAGGAGGGGAGAGAAAGGTGGTGGTTTCCTTACATTTTTAATTATCTCTAATGAACTTAAGTTGTTCTATTACCATTTATACAGAAATATTTTTCAATGAGTCAGCCAGGTGGCATGGTGGTTAAAAGGCTGAATCTCACATAGCCAAATGTATGGTTCAAGTTCTAGACCCGGTGACTGAAAAAAAACACCAGGCACATGTACGTGCATGCCCAAAATCCTGACAGGAGAATAGAGAAGGGATTGTGGTGTAGCCATCCCTGTCACGGGGGTGGGGAGGTACATTCTCATTTTCCTTCTCTCTGTCTCTTTCCTATGAGCACACGTGCTCTATAACAAATTCCATATACATTTTTTTTCTAATTATTTTTCCAGTGGTGCTTCTCATTCTCTGTGATACTTCAAATCAAAGAGGTTATTCATGTACGGTCAGGTCAGTGATTGGTCAGAGTGTGGCCAATGGACCAGCAGCATCACGGGATTTTGTTAGAACTGCAAACTCACGGGTCCTCATCCAGGTGAGTTTAACGCTCAATAAAAGTGGGAATGCATTGGTTAGAACCCACCTCTCTTCTCCAAGAGGCTCCTCCTCACCTGGACACCAAGCACTGCTGGTAGATGGCTAGGTAAGTGGAGTCAACCTGAGCCACCTGAGGCCAGGAGGGAAGCCCCACCCTCCCTGGCCCGGCAGCTGGCACCAGCACCCCCAACGCCCCGTGGTTACAGAAGTCTGAGTGTCAGACCTCAAGAGGATTACAGGCAGGTGGGGCAGAAGCCAGGCACACCCAGGGCCTGGGGCCAAGGAGGCGCCTCTCTGCCCGGGCTAGCACCCACACCCACCTGTTTGAGGTTGTACAGGCCGTGCTTATCGCAGTTGGGGATGTGCAAGGAGTAGAGGTGCTCCAGGGGGCCCCGCTCATCTGGGAGGCGCATGGTGGAAATCCGCTCTAGGACCTGATCCAACTCCTGCTGGCAGGGGGTCTGTGGACAGAGGCAGGCAGAGGACACTCACCGTGAGAATGGGCCCACAAAACACCGGGGCCAAATGCACCCTTAGAAAAAAGCTTGTCCACAGGAAAGGCCACAGACCTAGTGGTGGGAACAGAGACTTTGGATGCCCAATGACCTCTCTGCATATTATTATGTCCGACCCCAAAAGCCATATGGATATGAGTTTTCACTCCTGTTCTCACTCGGTGGCTTTGGCAAGTCAAGGTGGTACTGAATTCAAGTGGCTGTCTGCAGAACCTCTACACTCTGAGTCCAAGCTCCATTTCTTCTCGTAAACCCAACTAGGGCCAGCACCCAAGACAGGAGAGCTAAGCTAGAGAGCTAAACTAGAAGAGGAGAGCGGCACATTTCAGCGAATCCATCGTCATCTCTGGAATTCTTTTTTTTTTTTTTTTTTTGCTTATGTCACATGCCCAATCAGAAATGTGGAAGTGTTAGAAGGAAGAGACTTCAAAGAAACTCTGTCTAGTCCGTTTCTCAGGCATAGACACTGTCTGGCTCAGAGGTTGCTGAGACTCTCAGGGACAGAACTGAAGAGAAAGGTGCCTTGACCAGTTGACACAGGAAAGGGACGGGACTCTGGGATGCCCTGCCTCTGCCGTGATCTATCTCCATACCCTCCCAGCCCTCCAGCCACACCCGACCCCCACTGACCCTGGCAGGTGGCGGCCGCAGCTTCTTGGGCTCCTCCAGGCCGAGGTGATGTTTGCCACCCTTGCCCATTTGCCGGTGCTGCTCGGTGACCTTCTCTCGGAACACGGCCAGCTCCTTCATGCCCGACTTGAGGGGCTTCCGGCCAGCACTGCTTCCTCCTCCCAACATGTTCAGGGTTCCGTCCACATGGTTCTCAACCAGGCCTCCCTCAGAGTGGTCATCGCCATTGTCTGCAGAGGAGAGGAAGGAGAGTTCCAGGTACAGTTACCCACAGAGGTCCCCTCCAGGGACCACCTGGACCCTGGTGATCAGGATGAGGATGGAGATGACTAACACCTGGGCCCTACCACACAGTTCCCATGGATTATCAACGTCTGCCTCACAGGGACTCTTAGGTGGGTTTGTTAGCCCTCCCCTAGTTTTCACAGCTGTAGAAATTGAGGCTCAGGGCCAGTAGGTGGCATGGCGGTTAAGGCACTGGACTCCCACATGGCCAACTGCGGTTCAAGTCCCAGGCCTAGCATCTAGCTTTCTCATTCCCCCCCACCCTACTCTGGTGAGCCCACATGTCCTAGGGCAAAATTTAAAACAATAATAATAATAATAAATACAATTAAATAAAAGTAACTCTTTTTAAAAAATAAAGTTGAGGTTCACAGAGCTCAGTCACTTGACCAAGAGCACTAATCTGTTAAGTGATAGATCCAGGATTTGAATGGCGGCTATCTGACTCCAGAAAAACGGCAGAGCAAAGCAGACACACAGGAGGACGAATGCATCTGCAAGACCCTAGAAATAAAAGCGGATTAAGTCCTTACCGGAATGAGTCCATCAAGACCTTCTAGACTCACCTGCCACTAATCTCTAATTTATATTCTTCATCATTTATGGACTGAAAAGGTGCAGATTCGGTGAGTTTTTACAAACACAGTCACAAAGAGCACTGTACCATGGCATGTCTGGTCAGGGAGTGAAAGGGTGAAGAACACCATTGCCACCCAGACCCATAGTCTCCAACAGAACTTGTTGGTACTCTTCACAGGCCCCAGTCTGCCCCGCCTCGAAGTTTCCATAGCGCTGCTCCTAGACTGTTCAAGCACTAACCACTGGCTCTTCTCTTGTCCAAGTCTGTGTGTACCACCTCAGCCCCATCACACTGAGCCCCCAAAACAGGAGCTATGACTTGCTCCACTTCATAATTTTAGCTCATCTATCACAAGTCATGAAGCCTCGTCAAGAAATCTATTCAAGAGCCATCCAATAGGTCTCTTTAGACTTTCTTCAACCTATTTTGTGCATAGCTCAGATAGAGGAGACCTTGAACGCAGCCCCCAGTGACCATGGTTTCTTTCTGGCTGAGGCACGTCCAGCCAGGGGAGGGTGAGTGGAGCAGACATGTATGGTGGAGTTGGAACCAAGGAGGCAAGTCCCAGCGAGCTCTCGGGCAGGGAATCAAGCAGCCCAGCCCCAGTCCCTTGGAGACATAGCAGAACAAAGAAAGCCCCAGACCACCCCACCCAGAGCCACTTGCCTGCAGGTCTCAGCAAGATCTGGGTGGGGGTACAAATCTTGCACTTTTTCTCTTGCACACAAACTATAGCCCTAATGACACAACTGAATGGTTCTTAAAATATTTCTACACGAGGAGTTGAGGCAAAGCACCTAGTACTCAGTGGTCCTTTCAGAATGCTGGCACAGCATGGCGGCTCAAATGGTCAGACTCCAGAGCAGTGTCATAAGGTGGAGAGTTGACACCTACTTGAAAAGAGGAAGCTGTAACACCCACTGTGGGTTGTGATCTGCACAGTCTTCACTCACTCACCGGCTAAGGCACAATTCCTGACCACACACAAGCATTTAGTCTGGGCTTGCCCCACCCCTTCCCCCTGGGCCTGGCACCTAGTCAGCTCTCACAGCCACAGCTATATCCCTTTAGAAGCTAGGACATTATCTCCAAAGGAGCAGCGCCAGTTACTGACCATATCCAGGGAAAATCCCAGCTCTGGGATATGGCATGGTGGTTAAGGTGGCCGGATCTTCCATAGCTGACAGTACGGTTTAAGTCCCAGACCTGGTGGTTTCAAAATCACACTGGACACAAAGTGCATGTGTGCCCAAAATTCAAAGAGGAGAGTGGAGAAGGGATTGCAGTGTGGCCATTCTCTTGGGGTGGTGCTTTCTCATTTTCCCTCTGTCTCTCTCTGGTGAGTAGAGATTCCCTACAGCAAGTTAAAAAAAAAAAAATCACAGTTCTGCCACTTTCTGACTAGATGTGTTTCCCCTGGACATAACCTCTGTATGCCTCTGCTTTTTTCATTGTAAACTGTTGGATAATAATCGTTCTCTCTTCAGAGAACTGCTGAGTAAGTTGTAGGTAAAGCAATTAAAATACACTCAGAATGCAAAACTCTATCCCCATGTGGCTGGTGGTTGCTTGATGATGACAACAATAACAACGGCCTCAGTTATCTACTACCTGGGCAATGTGGAAACTGACCAAGCACCAAGAAGCAAAAGAAAACAAGTGTCCTGAGTCATGTTAGCTGACACCATCCCTGTGCGTTTTAAAGTTCTGGCATTGTCTGCCCACGATACAGGGAGAGAGAGCCATGAAGAACGTTGATGGTTCACAACTACATTGCTCTAGGAAGCCTGGTTTCTGGATGTCTGGTTTCTAAGGCCACCGCAGAATAAAATCAACAGAATTAAAAGAAGGAAGGAATGCATGTGGACAGTGCAAGAAGTATCAAATGGCAGGCAGGAAAGAAGACACTTAAAAAAAAAACCAAACACAAGAACTTTTGGGGACATTTAGTACATGGCAAACGTATCCACACCCACCAACAGTCCCCAAGGACTTCCATGTTTTATAACCCAAAACAAGAACTGTACTGATGATGATCCTAGGACACCCCAAAAGGGGAGGGAGTTAAAATTTCAGCTATTCAGCATTAAAAAGATTTCTATTGAAATTGGTTAAACTTTAGAAAAATAAAACGTGAAATATTGAAATGTGCAAGGTGGAAAATTTGGTCTGGTTACTCCCTTAGGGGCTTTGGAGAGCCTGGGTTTTAGCATCACATAAGCAAGTGCAGATTAAATCCTGTTCCAGTGGCCCCCACACCACCCACAGAGGAAGGCGGATTGAGCATTTGCTTCCAGGCTGGGTAAGAGTCTTGTTCCACCGTGTTCCATCAGCCCCAGAAACCAGCCCCAGACTTCTCACCCATCCTTTCTTCTGCTCCTTGAAGCAGACAGCAACAGAAATCCACGGGCATCAGGAATTCATGCTGAGTTCTCCTGCTCAACTGCCTGCCGTGTTCCCCAAAACAGAGACACGGGTCACCCCACCATGCTGCACAGAGCCACCCTTTTGGACTAGGTCATGCAGTTGGGGCCAACAATGGAGAAGATTTCCTCTCCCCTCTTCAGAGGAAAATCAGGGATGTGGGACAGAAGGCTGAAGGGGAACCCCTCAAGGCCTGCTGCCAACTCCAGTCACGCTCTTCTGCACCCAGACCAGGGAGGATGATCTCAGGTTCCCTGACCTCCATCCCTGCAGACTGGGGACCAAGGAGGACAGCCGTGGCTGGAAAAGCATCGGGGAAAAAAACCAATGCTTCCCCGCTGCAGCAGTTGTAGAGAAGTGCCTTTTGCCGCTTTTGTACCTGAGCTTGCCCTCAGCATCACCCTCACTGTCCCTTGTCCTGCTGACTTGCTGCCCAACAGAGGCAAGAAGACCTTCTGGAGACTTCAACAGCACTTCTAGTACCTGAAACCATGTTCTGTTCACATGGTAATTAGAGAAGATGAGGCTCTGGAATCTGCTGACGCAGCACACTGGTACCATTTCTGGAACTTTCTCCTCTGGTCATGTGACCTTGTGACTCTCAGAAGTTCACCTGGCTCTGCCCTTTCGGGAAGAGGCTTGCCTGCCCACCTCAAAGCTGAGGTTAAGACAGCGGTCTTTATTACAGCTATAATTACATGTTCTCTGGCTGAAGGGAAAGGTAATTCATGTTTATAGTCCTATCCCAGAGCCTCGGGGAAGGCTCTGCTCACCTGAACCCAGTGCCTGGAACACCCTCTGGGTCCAAGGTCTCTCAGCCTCAGCACTACTAACAGCTGGATCTGATAAATCTTTCATTGTAGGGGCCAGCAGATGGTATGGAAGTTAAGGCACTGAATCTCGCATGGCCGACTGTGCAGTTCGAATCCCAAGTCCAGCAACTTGAAAAACATGCCAGAAGTATGTGAGTGCATGCTCAAAATTCTGAGGGGAGAATGGAGAAGAGGGATTGCAGCATGGCAAATCCCTATAGCAAACACACAAAATGAAACAAACAAAAAGCTCTGTTAGAAGGGCTGCCCTATGCACTGAGGGATGCTGAGCATCTCTGTGGCCCCCACCCACCAGATGTCAGTAGCCCTCCTCCCCAAGTTGGGGCAACCAAAGTGTCTTCCTACACCACCAAATGGCCCCTGGGAGACAAAGCTTTCTCAGTCTGAGAGAATCACTGTTCCAGAGTCAGGCTTTATCCAAAGGCCTGGAGGTTCCAGCCCATTGTTAAATTGACTCCAGGCCCTATGAGAAGCTGGTCTGGCTCTGTTGGAGTTTCCTTGTACATTCCCCACTGTGGCCAAGACCCCTCCACCACCCTTCCAACCCCAGCCACACTAGTCCTACAGGCTTCTCAGGAGTGGAGGTGGTACAAGAGTCTTCCCTGGGCATCCCAAAGAACTTTTGGCCCAATACTACCTCTTACCTAAGCCCTCCTGGCACCTGTACCACAGTGGTCAAAGATACATCCCTTGGCTAAGTCCAAGAGATCAATCCAACATGTAACGCTCTAGAGAAGGTCTTTAGCAAACTCTGGGCACATACCTCAAGAAAGAGACAGGTGTATAGCTAAATGCATTCAGGCCTGGAGGCTCGAGGTAGTGTCAGCTGTCCATTAGGCATAACAGGCAGTGCCTAAATGCCTAGAAAATGTTTTCATCCCTTTTAAAATCAAGAGAAAGAAAAACAGGGCCACTTCATGACTTGGTTGTTAAGGACGCTGGATTCCACAGGGCAAGTGCACGGTTGGGGTCCCAGACCTGGTAGCTTGAAAGGCATGCTGGGCACATGTGCATGCATACCCACAAAATCCTAAAAGGAGGAAGTGATGGGGGAAAAGAGATTGTAGGGTGACCGTGCCCCATAGGAGGTGCCTTCTCCCTCTCCCTG